TTTTTTTTACTTTCATTTTTTCATATTCTTGGTTGATATTTGTAAAAGGAACTTAAATTCAGACAATTCTTTTTGTCCATGTAAAGGTTATTCACTATTTTCGAGATACGTTTCATATGGATATGCAAGTTCATCCCTAGTACCCGTAGATGATACTATTTTATTATTAAAAAATATTATATTTAGTTAAATAAATTACATTACTATGAAAAATATAATTTTATTTTCCATCTCTCTCTTTCTCTCTCTCTCTCTCTCCCTCTTTGTACTTTTTTATTATTCAAAGAAATTTATTAGAAAATAAAATGACAATATATAAAATATTATTTGAAAGTTTGCAATTTGTTATTAACCAGATTAATGAATTCTTATATCGAACTTTAGATAATTGAGAAATATCATCAATAGTAAACATAGTTATTTTTATTTTCTGGTAAACAATTGATATTCTTTTATTATTAAAGTATATTATTTGTAATCCATATTAAATTATAATAATATCATAATATATTTATACATAAACTAATCTATTCTGATAAATGTATTATTTTGAATTAAGTGTACAAATATTTATTTTTATTATTTAAATTATCCACATAGGATTTAAAAATTTATTTCAAAGCCATTAATATCGAAGTGCAAGTCCCAAAGCATAATTATGTAGGAACTTAATTATTGACTAATGATTGTACTCATTGTTTTAATGATATATCATAGTTAGAAATTGATAAAATTTATTGTTAGATAATATACATTGTTTTGAACAATATGTCTCTTCTAATTTAATAAACTATATTATATGTAAGATCTAACTTTTATTATATTTGTCATCGCTTTCTCATTATATCTTCTTATATTTAATTTGTTTATATGTATAATATGTTTTAATACAAACATGTCGTGCTCATAAACATAAATGATGTTTTGAAAGAAAAATATTTTTTATTGATATTCCAATTGTATAGATATGTTTATACCTTTAATTTTTTATAATAAAAGTCAATATTTATAATTTTATGTTTAGTTATTATAATGTTTTTCAGCAAAAAAATTACTCAATGAATTAAACATAAAGACATCATATAAAAATGACAAATTTTAACCTTCTAAGTTCTATTAACTTTTATTTTGCCGCTTTATATAATTAACTATGATAGGTTTTATATTATGTAGTTAAAAATTTACAATTTCAAAATGACCCACGAATGTGAAAGATGTATAAATAAAATTAAGACTACATTAGGTTCTTATATTGTGGTTCTATAATGAAAGATATTATGATTTTATAATTGAAAAACTCAAATGGATGTTTTGAAAATTTAATGTATTAATCAATTGAGGACAATTAATAGATAATTTAACATTAATCATAGTATTACTTTTTGTTTGATTTCATTATTAATTGTATTGAGATGTGTAGAATTAGCACAACATTCTAAACAATTGTCAACTTGTTCAACATTCTCAATAATATTATTCTAGTATAAATAAATCTAATAGAGCTTTAAATTTTTGGACAATATTTATTGAATTGATCAAACCATTAATAAATAACATTGAATACAAAATGGGAGGGAAAACAAAACTTTTTCAAGCTGCTTTGCTTTTATATATATATAGATTATAATTTTGGGAGATTCTACGATCCCGTGACGGAACCATTACGTGGGGACCGACGGAATGGTTCCGTAACGGGACCGTAGTATTTTCCTCTTATTTTATTCATTAAAAAATTTGTCATCCTAATGATTTACTAAGAAAAAAAAAAAGGGAAATGTTATGTTTACCATCATCAATATTATTTTTACTATGCAAGGACCCAAATCAGGTCACGGCCGACGATTTCTTCTTTTCGGGCCTCAACAGGCCTGGGAACACATCTAATCCTCTTGGATCAAGAGTCACGCCTGTCAATGTGAACCAACTCCCGGGCCTAAACACGCTCGGCATCTCTCTGGTCCGGATTGACTATGCACCAAACGGTCTCAACCCGCCACACACACACCCTCGTGCGACCGAGATTCTTGTGGTCGTGCAAGGCACTCTATATGTTGGGTTCGTCACCTCAAACCCGGCGGACCCAAACCAAAGGAACAAGCTCTTCACAAAGACCCTAAATCCAGGGGACGTTTTCGTCTTTCCGGAAGGTCTCATCCATTTTCAGTTCAATAGCGGGAGGAGTAATGCGGTGGCATTTGCGGGACTTAGCAGCCAAAACCCGGGAGTTAT